GAAGGGGGCGCCCCGGGGAAGCGGGAGCAGAGCCGGTTTGCGCGGGGCTGCGGGCCCCAGCCCGGGCCTGCGGCTCCCTGGCCGGCTCCACGCGGGTCTTGCTCTGCCCGGTTCCTTGCTGAACCCTGCCAGGTTTTGGGACCTGCAGGGCCCTGCGAGGGAAGCGCCCGCTCTCCGCAGCTCCCACCGTCTCCTTTTGCTTACTGCTCCCTTGGATTTTAGAGACAGGTGCAGGGCATGTTTGTTTCTTGTTCTCCTTTTCCAGGCTGCTCGTGACTTTAGGAACTCTAATGGTTGTCAGAGCCTGTATTCTTTTTCTTTTTTTTTTTTTGGTGCTTGCTGCCTTCCAGGTTCTCGGACTAAGGCAGTGTTGAGTAAGAAATTGCCCGCTGCCATTCGTGATTCACTTACAGGGCAGTTAGTTCATGCCAAAGGGCTTTTTAAGGTCTTGGGTGAACACGTGGTCATTTGTGACCACTTCTTTGGTTGGCTTCCACCGTGCTGAGGTGGCTGCATTCTTCGTAGTTCAAGGTTTTTGCTGTGGTGACCCCTCACCCCGCAGATTCCTCCGTGATGGAGAGAGATGCACAGACTTGTTCTCGTTTCTCTGCTTCTGTCCTCATTATCTTTGCATGCTCCTTTTATGCTGATATTTTTCAATTGGCCCTCTAAGATCCTGCCAGATAAACTGTGATCTTTCTCGTGACTGCTCCTTGTTTCTCTGTTTTGAGAGAGTCTGTCCTCCTTGTCAAAAAATTCCTAGCTGAAAAATATCAACAAAAATAAGTCTGATAGGAGCAGTGAATGGGGAGGCTGTCACAGCTGAACCCTTTTTCCTGGGTGCACGAGGATGAAATTAGCTCTTGAGGCAATAACCCCATGGTTACCACAGTCCAAACAAATAAAAAGATTTTGCTTTTCTATCCATCTCCCCAGTTTGGTGTGTCAGGGCAGCAGATCCCCTTTCAAGGATACCTCAATGTCTAAAGAATAAGCTTTTCCTCTGGGTTTCTTTGGCAAATCCTTGTTCTGTTTTCTCCCTTTGATTTTCCTACTTCTGTATTTAAGGGCTCTTGGGAGCTGGTTATCTTTGTAGCCACAAATCATAGTTGAGCAGTTCTTTTTTTCTTCAGTGGCAGTGTTGGCTTAAACCACCCCCTATAACCCCATTGCCCTCTACTTGCTCATCCTGAGATTGCACCAAGTCCTTATGACACAGCTGAAGGAATGGGCCTCATTTAGGTGGCAGTGCCCCAGGATGTTCTGCCATTGACAAAAAAAAAAAAAAAAAAGTTTTTTGCCGCCTCAGGGTGCTGAGGAATGTCTGCTCTCAAATGTGCGGAGGGTTCGGATCACCGTGAAGGCACCCTGCTATGCACTGGTTTTTCCTTAAGCCTCTGGCACAACTGGGCGTCCGTATTCCCAGTGAAGTGTCTTCCTTGCGAGTCTGGCCTTTGGGCACACTTTTCTGTTACCTTTTCTGCTGCCTTCTGAGTTTTTCGGAGGAGTGAGGGCCTGAGTGGCGTGTTCTGGTTGCTCCTTCTTGGAGCAGGATTGAGGCGAGTGCTTCCTGGGTGCAGAGCTTTTTAAAAAACCCATAACATTTTTAATTTACTTGGTTGCCAGCTTTAAACTTGCCAGTCATTTGTGAGAACACCGGTACTTATGTGTCTGTTATATGTTTGACATTAAGTGGTACAACCTGAACACGGACTTGAGTGGTGCAGTCCCATCCCAATCCTTCCGCAGGGTCTCTGCCAGCATCAATACTCACTGTGGATAGAGCTCGGGGTTGGGAGCAGCTGTTGTACAGTTATTTTTAGCTGTTTTGTTGAGCACATTCCCTGCACCTGGCTAATTCAATGAGTGTCCTCCAGGCCCTGCAGTGAGAGGTGGCAGAGCTCCAGCTCCCGGCTCTGTCCGCGCTGTGTGCCAGCCTCGTTTCCCACGTGTCTGCTCCAGTGAGGAGTCTGGGTTCTGCAGAGAGGTAACCATCCGTGAGCATGTGCCAGGGGACCACGTCTCTCCTCTTGGGGGAAAATTAGGTCCATGTGGGCGAATTTAATTTTGTAAATTTTTTCATTGCACAATCATAAAGTTGTCTCTAATTAGAAATTTAACTGTTTTGTTTAGCTTTTTATTGGGAAATGAACACAAACAAGCAGATTTGTCCCTCATTGTTGTTTGCAGGAGATCATGTCTCTGAATTGTTAAGCATGGTCTATGTTACTGGTGCAGAGGGAGTCTAATCCTAGCTGCTAGGGACCTTAAACAACTGAGGTGACTGAAAGGACACTTTTTGTGAGAAAGTGCAATTTTTCAGGGCACTCGCCCTGTAATTTCAGGGCAGGGTGAGATACAGATTTGAAACATATTTTATGCCAGATGGCTTGGAAGAAAAATAAAAGGAAGTTTCAAGCATTCATATATGGATTTCCCAGAGTTAAATATTCTCCCTGAAACGTTTCTGGCACCAGGTGAGACCTGGCATCTTGTTAGATGCCTTAGTCCCCTGGGTAGTTCCACTGGCAGAAAAATCTTGTTTTCCCTTTGCCTGAGCTTATCTGAGCACCCACAGGGCTGGGGCTTCGGGGGTGCCTGGCTTGGAAGGAGGAACTCGGGTTTTCCAGCCCCTGCCTGGTTCTCGGCTGCCGGAGTCCCGTGCTGACCCGGCTCCGTGGGTGCTTTGACATCGCTGACGCTCACTGCAGGCTGCCAGTTCCAAAATTTTTACATTTCAGGCACCATCTCTTTAGCAGAGAATCTGAAAATCTTGGAAAATCTTGATAAGATGGGCTTGGCTCTTTTTTTTTTTTTTTTGGTTTTTGTTTGTTTGTTTTTGGCTTTCTATGGTGGAACCACGCACTTAGATGCAAACTAAATTAGACGTGGATTGGATAGTGTCCTAATGATTGCCTGTAAAGGGAGTTCAGAGTGACTAGCTTAGATATCTCAGTGTTGTTGATGTTCAGAGCAAATTGGGAGATCCTGTTTCTGTTGAGGTGTCAACCAAAGGCCACAGGCTCAGGTAGGATCATAAGTTCCTTGGCCTTGTTCATTCCTTGGGTTGGCTTTGATCTCCTGATCCCAAAATCTATTTCTCAGGAGTAACTTTAAATCTAACATTTAAAATAACATGAAAGCCCCACTTCTCCCTTCACTTTAGGCCCTACCCTGCTGTCAAGCAGTTGCCTAGATGGAGATGGCTGTTCAAATGTGTCACTTGACACGGAGGAACCAGATCATTAAGGGTATGTTTCGTTTGTAGCCCAAATGAAGAGGCTGGACATTTTGTTAAGGACTGGCGTTAAGAAGAGGGAAAGATTGCATAAAAATTCATTAGGTGTTTTAAATCTCCTATGAAACTTTGTCTCCAGACCATGTACTTGACTTAAAAAAAAGAAAAAAAAATAAAAAAAAACCCCAACATTTTTCCCCTCCATTTTTAAGTAGATCTCTACTTCTGGAGGGATTCTTGAGTGCCTCTGTAATTGGCTTCTGTAACTTTTTTATGAGTGAGTGTGAATATACATTGTAACAGTGAGATAGGTGTGAGAGGGGCAAGTTTCCACCTAGGATTTGCCTTGTTTCTCCCTTCCTCTAGTTTGGTGTTGGCACACGTAAGACACACGGCTCAGGTGCTGCCATATCACTTCTTCATGACTAGCCACTGAGATGTGTTTCTCTTGGCATTTCTTGTCTGCCTTTTCCTCCCTTTGGATTCTGAAAGTGTCACCGAAAGCCTCTTTGCCACTCTCTGCTATTTACAAGTCTCCTGTTCTTTCTCCTGTTGTTTTTCCTGTTTTTTTTTTTGTTGTTGTTGCTTTGAAGAGGGCCATGGAAGATGCTGCCCTTCCTCTCATTGAAACCGTAGATGAGGCACCAATGGGAGCTGGGGCTTGAGAGCTTCCTGGGCCGACTGCTGCACTGCGGGATCAGCCGAGCGGGAGCCGCTGGCTCTGGGTACCGGGAGCTGCTCAGCGCAGGTCTCTCTTTGGCTGAGTAGTCTCTAGCAAGACAACAACCCCTTTTCATGTATAATGGTGCTGTTCAGAGAAGAGTGGGGGTTTTGATACGGAGTTTTGCTCACCCGTGCTGTCATTAAAGCCTCTTCTCCCTTGGTGTGCGCAGCTTGCTCTCTTCTGGTTGTCTCTGAACTCACTGGGGTCTCTCTTCCTCTTCAGGTGGAGCCAGGTGTGCTACCTTTGGGACCTACTTGTGAAGAACATGAAAATTTCCCTCCCAAAAATGCAATAACAGGACAAGAGACCGGCCAGCAGATAGAGCATCTGGTGAGTTGTGGTTCCTGTCTGGAGGTTCAGGAGGGGACTGTAGATACAGGCCTTTTCCTTCCAAAATGAAGCCAGTCTGTTTTCAGGTGAGGGAGTGCAATGCTGCTGCTTGGGTTTTTAACTTGTGCAAACCAAGCAGAGGTTGGGGGACAGAAGTACTTCTAGGGGCAAGTGTTCTGTGAAATTGGGAAACCCATTTTGTGAAAATGGGAACTCGAACTAGGCACAACTTGGAAAATCAGCGGGCAAAGCACAGGCATGGAGGGCATTGCTGAGTCAGGTGTTTTGCCAAGTCTTGCACTCACCAACAGTGGAATACTTTAGAAGAAAATGAGAGGGGAAACATATCAGCAGTCTCCGTGCTGTGTTGGATTTAGTCTTATATGGACATGGATTAGGTGTGACTAATGTGGGACAGATGTTGTATAAGGAATCCGTCCGTTGCGAATTATTCCAGTAAACAAGGAAAATTCACACTGAGGTTCAGCA